AGATAATAAAATAATAAATAATAAAATACAATATTGAAATAATAAACTAATAAAATAATAAACTGTTCTATAACAATGCTAATTCAGTATTAAAATTATAACCATCAAAAAGCCTTCGATCTTGTATTGAAACTTGGATTTGCATAGCTGGATGGTTGTAAGATAAGTATAGACTTTATTTTCTATTTTTTACTTTTTTTTCTTTATTTTTGTCTTTGGTCTTAGGTGGGTTGCTAATTATTCTTTTTCTTTTAGGTTAATTAGCACCAGAACTAGAACTTGGGAATCCAGGTCTTTTTAGAGTACAAAATATGATCTTCTGGACGTATAATTCAAATTGTTGGTTCTTGGGATGCTAGAATTTTAGATAAGTGAATCTTCTCTTTTTTTTATTTATTTATTTTATCTATTCTTGGGTATTGTGCTGATTATTCTTATTATTATTATTATTTTTCTTCTAGATCATTAATACTGGAATCGAGATTTAAAAAAGGCTAGATTTTCTAGAATAAAGACCTTTGATTTTACATTGAGACTTGGCTTCACATAACCGGCTGGTTCGTAAGATAAGTAGAGAACTTTACTTTTTTTTTTGTTGACTTTGACTTTGTTTTATTTTTTTGGCTAATTTTTATTTTTTTTTTGTTATTTAGGACAGATAATTGCGATGACAAATAAGTTTGGGATTAGGTATGCGTAAAGAACTATTGCAAGAGAACTTATACATGCAATTTTTAAGAGCTAAATATCTATTTTCATTTGTCTTTTGTTTCGTTTATTTAGTTACTAATACTATACTAGATTTTTAGGGTATCAAAATATCAGGTAAGAGTGTTTGATGATGAATTGTTGGTGAAACATTACTTGCAGTCATAAGAACAAGACCGTTAAAGGACATGTTATATAAATCAGGCCTTAATTTTAATAAAACGGAGCCATCTTCGACTTGAGTTTCTTCAGGTAGATGACCTGAGGTCCTGTTGTTGTCGCCAAATATAACTAAAATATTTGGTTATATGGTGGGTTTAAGTCTTTGTTAGGAGAAATTCAAGATGAAGAGGCTTTGTTTTATTAAATTGTGAAGACTTAAGGCAGTAGATGATGCCTTTTTACAAGACTTTACAAACATTTTTATAAGAAAAATAACTACTAACACTTAACTATTTAATTGTTAGTTAAAACTATTATATTCCCTTAATTCCCTCTAGTTTTAGAATTGTTTACTATTATTACGATTTTATGCATAATGATTTATGTATAACAATCTTATGTATAACGATGCTATATTTACAATTCTTAATAAAATAAATAGTAAAACAGAAACTATCTAAATAAATAAAACAAATAAAAACTAATAGCTCTTGTATTTATGTATATCAGTGTCATGTGATCATTGTAGCGTATTATGGTCATGTGATCATCATAGTTACATGATAATTGTGTTAACATTTTATTAGGGCCGATTTTGTAACTATCTTTTATAAAGAGCAAGATATTAAAAATCTATTTTACAAATTAGTAGCTTAGTTTATTAATAATAAATTTGTAAGAGAGATTTTAAAAAAATTATTTGTTATAAATTAAACAATTATTAAAAAATTAGATATTTTTGCTATTTGTACTATAAAATTAAAAGGCTAGATTAACAAATTATTTTTAAATATTATAAAATCAAAAATTAATATTGTATAATTTATTAAAAATTAATTTTTTTTTTCAAAACAATTTATCAAATAATTTATCTGCAACTACTTTATCATATGTTGTTAAATCATTTGAAATATTTGAAGTTATATTATTTAATTAATTTTTGACAATATTTAAATTCTCTTTTGAGAAAGAAATATCTTTTATATTTGCTGTTGCTAAACAAAGTTTTGCTTTTTTTGTTTCTTTAATCATATTTAGATGATATTTAAGATCAAATTTATTATAAAATCCTTCAATTTGTTGCTGATAAACAATAATATAATATATATGATATTTTATAAATTTATATAGTAATGAATATTTATAAACAGGTTCTGTTTTTAAATTTGCAAATCTAATAAATTCATTTAAAAATATTAGGTTTTTTAAAGCTTCATATAAACCAAAATCTTGAAATTCTGGTTTTAAATCAATTTTAGTTTCAAGTTCTTTAATATAGTATTTTTCTTTTGTTATAAAATTATGATTACATAATATTTTTAAAACAACTTTAGTATAGGCTAAAGTAAACTTATATCCATTATCTCCTCCTAATCGATATATACTTAAAGGTAATTGTAACTATATTTTAAGCCATTTTTCTAAAAATTCAAGTGCTGCTTCTATTCCTAAAATTAATCCATCTCCTAGAATATTAGAAAAAAATAATAAACTTACTACACTTCCTTCAGGAAGAAGAGCTCATGAAATACCAGATGCTATTACTTAATGGATAGAAGAATTAACAGATATTATAAATAATATTTATTTATTTTTTAAAGATAAACTTTTAAATGTAATAAATAGTTTAAATAATACAGATATTCAAATTTTAGTTGATGGATTAATTTTAGGAATAGAAGCAGCACTTGAATTTTTAGAAAAATGGCTTAAAATATAGTTACAATTACCTTTAAGTATATATCGATTAGGAGGAGATAATGGATATAAGTTTACTTTAGCCTATACTAAAGTTGTTTTAAAAATATTATGTAATCATAATTTTATAACAAAAGAAAAATACTATATTAAAGAACTTGAAACTAAAATTGATTTAAAACCAGAATTTCAAGATTTTGGTTTATATGAAGCTTTAAAAAACCTAATATTTTTAAATGAATTTATTAGATTTGCAAATTTAAAAACAGAACCTGTTTATAAATATTCATTACTATATAAATTTATAAAATATCATATATATTATATTATTGTTTATCAGCAACAAATTGAAGGATTTTATAATAAATTTGATCTTAAATATCATCTAAATATGATTAAAGAAACAAAAAAAGCAAAACTTTGTTTAGCAACAGCAAATATAAAAGATATTTCTTTCTCAAAAGAGAATTTAAATATTGTCAAAAATTAATTAAATAATATAACTTCAAATATTTCAAATGATTTAACAACATATGATAAAGTAGTTGCAGATAAATTATTTGATAAATTGTTTTGAAAAAAAAAATTAATTTTTAATAAATTATACAATATTAATTTTTGATTTTATAATATTTAAAAATAATTTGTTAATCTAGCCTTTTAATTTTATAGTACAAATAGCAAAAATATCTAATTTTTTAATAATTGTTTAATTTATAACAAATAATTTTTTTAAAATCTCTCTTACAAATTTATTATTAATAAACTAAGCTACTAATTTGTAAAATAGATTTTTAATATCTTGCTCTTTATAAAAGATAGTTACAAAATCGGCCCTAATAAAATGTTAACACAATTATCATGTAACTATGATGATCACATGACCATAATACGCTACAATGATCACATGACACTGATATACATAAATACAAGAGCTATTAGTTTTTATTTGTTTTATTTATTTAGATAGTTTCTGTTTTACTATTTATTTTATTAAGAATTGTAAATATAGCATCGTTATACATAAGATTGTTATACATAAATCATTATGCATAAAATCGTAATAATAGTAAACAATTCTAAAACTAGAGGGAATTAAGGGAATATAATAGTTTTAACTAACAATTAAATAGTTAAGTGTTAGTAGTTATTTTTCTTATAAAAATGTTTGTAAAGTCTTGTAAAAAGGCATCATCTACTGCCTTAAGTCTTCACAATTTAATAAAACAAAGCCTCTTCATCTTGAATTTCTCCTAACAAAGACTTAAACCCACCATATAACCAAATATTTTAGTTATATTTGGCGACAACAACAGGACCTCAGGTCATCTACCTGAAGAAACTCAAGTCGAAGATGGCTCCGTTTTATTAAAATTAAGGCCTGATTTATATAACATGTCCTTTAACGGTCTTGTTCTTATGACTGCAAGTAATGTTTCACCAACAATTCATCATCAAACACTCTTACCTGATATTTTGATACCCTAAAAATCTAGTATAGTATTAGTAACTAAATAAACGAAACAAAAGACAAATGAAAATAGATATTTAGCTCTTAAAAATTGCATGTATAAGTTCTCTTGCAATAGTTCTTTACGCATACCTAATCCCAAACTTATTTGTCATCGCAATTATCTGTCCTAAATAACAAAAAAAAAATAAAAATTAGCCAAAAAAATAAAACAAAGTCAAAGTCAACAAAAAAAAAAGTAAAGTTCTCTACTTATCTTACGAACCAGCCGGTTATGTGAAGCCAAGTCTCAATGTAAAATCAAAGGTCTTTATTCTAGAAAATCTAGCCTTTTTTAAATCTCGATTCCAGTATTAATGATCTAGAAGAAAAATAATAATAATAATAAGAATAATCAGCACAATACCCAAGAATAGATAAAATAAATAAATAAAAAAAAGAGAAGATTCACTTATCTAAAATTCTAGCATCCCAAGAACCAACAATTTGAATTATACGTCCAGAAGATCATATTTTGTACTCTAAAAAGACCTGGATTCCCAAGTTCTAGTTCTGGTGCTAATTAACCTAAAAGAAAAAGAATAATTAGCAACCCACCTAAGACCAAAGACAAAAATAAAGAAAAAAAAGTAAAAAATAGAAAATAAAGTCTATACTTATCTTACAACCATCCAGCTATGCAAATCCAAGTTTCAATACAAGATCGAAGGCTTTTTGATGGTTATAATTTTAATACTGAATTAGCATTGTTATAGAACAGTTTATTATTTTATTAGTTTATTATTTCAATATTGTATTTTATTATTTATTATTTTATTATCT